AAAAAAAAAAAAAAAAAGAAGTGGAAAGAAAAACCCAGAGAAGGGAAGACAGTGCAGGAAAAGAAACAGAGGTAGAGGCTAGAGGGATGCAGGGATTGAGAGAAATATACACAACACAGGAAGAGGAGCCCGGAGGATTAGAGATGAATTTAAAAAGCGACATAAAAAGCCAAACCTCCCGGGAGGTAGAAGGGGAAGTGAGAAAGTTAAGTAGAGGGCACCAGAGGCAGATAAGAAAATAAAAATTGACATTGACTGAGAGGCCCAGGCAGAAGCAAGAGGTGAAATAAAGAACAGAGGTAGGTCAAAGATGCAAGGGCTGGTCCTGGTGGCTCAGGCCTATAACCCTAGCACTTTGGGAGGCTGAGGTTGGAGACGGGCTTGAGGTAGGGAGTTCGAGACCACCTTGAGCATAAGTGAAACCCCCCCATCTCTACTAAAAATAGAAAAAATTAGCTGGATGTGGTAGCCAACTCCAGTAGTCCCAGCTGAGGTTGAGGCAGGAGGATCACTTGAGCCCAGGAGTTGAGGTTGCAGTGAACTGCTACACTCTAAACTAGATGACAGAGAGAGAAGAGAGAGACCCTATCTTAAAAAAAAAAAAATGCAGCAAGGAAGTTACAGTTAGCCTCAAATGCCTTTGAAAGGAAAAAATTTCTCTTCCACGTTATCAGGCTGATCTGAGGTCATTCCTGATGGCGGGTCCCCTGAAGGCCCCACCCCCCAGCTCTCTTCTTGACCTCTTCCAGTCCCCTCTCCCCTCCAGCCCTCTGCTTCCAAGATAAGACTCTACCCCAGCCCCTGCCCCTTGAGAGTTCCCCAGTGCCCCTTTACCCAACATCCCACAGAGAAACAGGAGGCAAAGCAAGACGCTGAAGGTGCCCATGGCTGGACCAGGCTCAGGAGTCTAGGAGAGGTGATCTGCACCCCAAGATCTTGTGGGTTGGAGATCTGGGCGAGACAGGGAGGGAACAGTAAACACACATAAGGAGTAAATGTGAGGGGTGGAATAGTGACAAGAATCACCAGCCTGCTGCAGTAGGTAACAGCTCAGGCCCAGCCCCCTGCTGCTGCTACCCACATCTCTCACACCCTCTGCCCTAACTTGAGTTTGCCTTTGCTGGGAGGGTCTCCTGAGCGCTCTGTGTGTTCTGTGTAACTTTGCTTGTCTCCCACTCCTGAGATGTGTCTGTCACCTTCTCTCCTACTCTTCTCTCTCTCCCTTTTCCTTACGCTGCTCTCTGCTCTCTCAATTTGTCTCCCTGTCTTTGTTTTCCCTGTCTTTCTCCCTTCATGTATTTGGATCTCTCAAGGTCACCTATTCTAACCAACCCTGGCCTAGATCTGTTTGAGTGTGGAATCTACAATAACCCCCCACTACCCACGCACAAACGCAGACACAAAGCGTTGCTGTATAAGGGCAGACCCCACCCAGCTTCCAATCCCTTTGATCCCCAAGCTTCAACCTTTCTCCCCATAATTATCCCTGCCAGCTTTACTACTTTGGAGGAAAGAATTAATCAGGGGTGGGGCTGGAGGGCTGATGTGCTTCCACTGGGGAGAAATCAAAAAGATTTGGAAGGAAGGTGTGGATGGGATTTCAGGTTGGGGGAGACTGTGGTAGAGACTGGAAGACAGGAGTTGAAGAGACTGGGGAGTCAGGATTGAGTGTCCCAAGAGAAGTGAGACTAGGAAGCAGGGGAGGTGAGATAGGGGAGACACAGGCAGCCATGAGAGCAGTCATTTTCAAAGCTTTGATCTCAAGATCTCTTTGTACTCTTACAAATTACTGAAGAACCCAAAGAGCGTTTTTCTTTTTCTTTTTCTTTTGTTGAGACAGAGTTTTACCTTGTCACCATTGGTAGAGTGCCATGGCATCATAGTTCACAGTAACCTCAAACTCCTGGGCTCAAGTGATTCTCTCGCCTCCACCTCCCTAGTAGCTGGGACTACAGGCACCTGCCACAATGCCCAGCTATTTGTTTTTTGTTTAGCAGGCCTGGGCCAAGTTCGAACCCACCAGCCCCAGAGCATGTAGCTGGTGCCCTAACCACTGAACTACGGATACTCAGCCAAAGAGCCTTTCTTTCTGTGGGTTATATCAATATTTACTATATTAGAAATTAAACCGGCTCGGCGCCTATAGCTCAATCGGCTAAGGCGCCAGCCACGAACACCTAAGGTGGCGGGTTCGAATCCCCAGCCTGGACCTGCCAAACAACAATGATGGCTGCAACCAGAAAATAGCCGGGCGTTGTGGCGGGCACCTGTGGTCCCAGCTACTTGGGAGGCGGAGGCAGGAGACTCGCTTGAGCCCAGGAGTTGGAGGTTGCTGTGAGCTGTAATGCCACTGCACTCTACCCAGGGGGACAGCTTGAGGCTCTGTCTCAAAAAAAAAAAAAAAGAAATTAAACCAGGACTTTTTTTTAAGAGAGAGAAAGTCTCAAGCTGTCATCCTGGGTGGAGTGCCGTGGTGTCACAGCTCATAGCACCCTCAAACTCTTGGGCTTAAGCGATTCTCTTGCCTCAGCCTCCCAAGTAGCTAGGACTACAGGCGCCTACCACAATGCCTGGCTATTTTTTGGTTGCAGTTGTCATTGTTATTTAGCTGGCTTGGGCCATTTCGAACCCACCAGCCTCGATGTATGTGGCTGGTGCCATAACCACTGCATTACAGGCACCAAGCCTAAACCAGGACATTTTAAATAGGTATTTATTGAGCCATTTTAAAAATAAAATAAACTTATTACATGTTAACAAAGTATAGTTTTGTGAAAAATAACTTATTTCCCAACAGCACAATGAGAAGAGTGGCACTGCTTTACATTTTTGTGAAACTATTTAATGTCAGGCCTAATGCAAGGTAGCTGGATTTTCACATCTGCCTCTGCATTCAATTTATTGGAATATGTTGTATTGGTTGAAGTACAGTATATGAAGAAAATCTGACCTTACATAAATATGTATGCAAAAGGAAGATGCTAGAGGACCCTCTGAAAGGGTTTCAGGGACGCTCAGAGGCCTTGGGCCATTTTTAGAACCACCCCTAGGAATAAGAGTTTGAAGACTACAGAGGATGCTGAGATCATGCCATGGGGCCCCTCCCTGACTCTACTGGGGCCCAGGTGCATACTGGGGGAGACTCTTTCCTCCCTTTTTATAACCCTATAAAGCCCAAGGCAAGGGGAATATAAGGCTGGCCGAGCAGAGTTGGGAGGGGGGTGGGAGGGAGGGAAAGGCATCATTGGTACAGGCAGGCAAGATGAATCCCCAATTTGCTGGGATCCTGCTCGGCACCCTGCTGGGGTCTGCCTTGGGTAAGGAGGCATAAGGAGGCAGCCAGCTAGCCTCTCATACAGGCCTGCCCTCCCCCTCTGCCAGGTGGCTCTCCCCTCTTCCCAGGGCCCAGGTCCAGCTCTTCTTTTCTCCTGCCAGGAAGCCGCATGCGGTGCTATGACTGCACTGGAAGCCCTGACAGTTCCTGCAAAGAGACGGTGACCACCTGTGGGGAAGGTGAACGCTGTGGCTTCCTGGAGCGCAAACCTCAACCAGGCCTTGGACAGACCAAGCTATCTGAGAATCGTGAGTCCTCAGTTTCTACCTCTTCTCTCAGCCCTTCCCTGCCTCCAGCCCCACCCCAATCCTTCTGACTTCCAGAACCTTCCAGGCTCCGTCTGGCTCTGGGCAGATGGTGCCAATGTTGGCATAGAGCAGTCTGTCCTCCTTCTGTCTCCTGACAGAAGCCACAGTCCTTGTGCTTCCCCTGCCAGAGACTCTCAGAGGCCTGTTCACTCAGGAATGGAAAGCTCTGTCCTTTGAAGGACATATGTATGTATGTTTAACTATTTTATCTCAAAATAGTTTTGGATTGACAGAAAAGTTGTAAAACAGACAACCAGCTTCCACTAATGCTAACATTTTACAGAACCATAATACAATTATCAGAAGAAAACATTGGTATAATACTACTAACTAATCTATAGAGTTTATTCCATTTAGCCAGTTGTTCCATTTATGTCCTTTTTCTGGTTTGGGATTCAACCAGGATCCCATGTTGCACTTAGTTCTGGTGTCTTCTTCTTTTTTTTTTTTTTTTTGAGACAGAGCCTGAAGCTTTCATCCTGGGTAGATTGCCGTGGCATCACAGCTCACAGCAACCTCCAACTCCTGGGCTCAAGCAAGTCTCCTGCCTCTGCCTCCCAAGTAGCTGGAACTATAGGCACCAGCCACAATGCCTGGCTATTTTTTGGTTGCAGCCATCATTGTTGTTGTTGGGCCCAGGCTGGATTCGAACCTGCCAGCTCAGGTGTATGTGGCTGGTTCCTTAGCCGCTTGAGCCACAGGTGCCCAGCCTAGTTCTGGCGTCTTCTTAGTTGCCTCCACCACCTGTGCAGGTTCTCAGTTTTTCTTTATCTTTCATGAACTTGATGCTTTATTTATTCTTTGAGACAGAGTCTCCCTCTGTCACCTTGGGTAGAGTGCCATGGTATCATCATAGCTCACAGCAACCTCAAACTCTTGGGCTCAAGCGATCCCCCTGCCTCATCCTCTGAGTAGCTGGGACTATAGGCTCCCACCATGACACCTGCTTAATTTTTCTATTTTTAGTAGAGATGAGGTCTCACTCTTGCTTAGGCTGGTCTCAAATTCCTGAACTCAAGTAATCCACCTGTCTTAGCCTCCCATACTGCAAGGATTACAGGCGTGAGCCACTGCACCCCAATGAACTTGATGCTTTAAAGGAACCCTGATAAGGTGTTTTATAGAATATCCCTCGATTTGGATTTATATGATATTTCCTCGTGATGAGAATGAAGTCATATGTCTTAGGCAAGAATACTACAAAAGTGAGGTTGTGTCCTTCTCAGTACATCTCATCAGGAGTTCACAATGTCAATGTTTTAACTGTCATCACTTAGTTTCAAGGAGGTGGTTTTCGAGGGGCTAGAGAATCCCTTTAGGTTCTTTGAAATCACATCTTCTCTGACCCAGAAGGGAAGTGGTGAAACCAGGAATCCAACATACTAATCTCATTCTCTCTGTCAGCCTCAGTGACCTTGATTCATCAACATCCAGCCTGCGTGGCAGCCCATCATTGCAATCAAGTAGAAACAGAATCTGTCGGAGATGTGACTTACACAACCCACAGGGACTGCTGCCTTGGAGACCTGTGCAACAGCGCTGTGGCAGGCCACGTGGCCCCTGTGTGCATCTTGGCTGGAGCAGCTACAGCCCTGGCCTGTGTCTTGCCAGGACTGTGGAGAGGGTAGAGGGAGTAGGGGTAGGGGTGGAGGGAACAAGGGAGCAAGGGACATCTGCACATTTAAGATGAGAAGACAAGCACTCCTCTGTGAGCCATTAAAATCTACAGACCACTCTAGAGCTGACTGGAAAATTACTTCTATTCTTTGTTGATAGGAGGGCTGAAGGGGTAATATGAAGCATCTAAGTCATAGTTTGAGGGTTAACAAATGCCAATGGACTTAGTTACAATGGTACATTCCTTAACCAATTAAACCCCAAAGGACAAAGGCCCATATGCCCTCAGTGGCTCCTGGATCCTCTTGCTGGGGAGAACCTTCCTTAGCAATGACACTCACTGAGCAGGCTCTAGGCTGAATGGGGGTCACCAGGGTTCCATGAGCCTGGCTGTCTGGGTTTGCTCCTCTTTCCCCCATTTGGAACTTCACTCCCACTAGGACTATTTTGTTTTTCTTTTTATTTATTGTTTTTATAAGATGGGGTCTCACTATGTTTTTCAGGCTGGTCTGAACTCCTAGCCTAAAGCAATCCTCCCACCTTAGCTTCCTGAGTTCTGGGATTACATCAAGCAATCACATCCAGCCCAGTAGGACTACTTTGAATTGAGAAAGGAATAAAAGCCCTGTGACAGCACAGTTGCCTAGTGCTCCACTTAGCAACTAGGCCAGGTGAGGTCTCTGAATCTAACCTGAGGAAGACTGAGGAAAAGTCCCAGGCCTCATTCCCTTGTTCCTCTCCTACCCTTTCCTGGGAGCCCTCAAGCCAGGCTGCACCTGTGTCTTGGCAGTGCATCAGGGGTGTGGCCTAAATTTAGGATAAGGGTTGTTTCTCCAAAATACTGGGACCTGTGTGTCACCCCCAAATACTGGAAGGGAGGATGGAAGCCTGAAAAACCTGTTCCTCCATTTGCTCTAGCTCAGCCTCCCAGGGAAACTCCCGGAAGAATTCTTAGGTAAGGGTGGAGGACTAAAAATGTTTTTTCCTGGCTCTGTGCCTATGGCTCAAATGACTAAGGTGCCAGCCCCATACACCTGAGCTGGTGGGTTCAAATCCAGCCTGGGCCCTCCAAACAACAATGATGCTGCAACCAAAAAAAAAAAAAAAAAAAAATAGCCAGGTGTTGTGGTGGCTCCTATAGTCCCAGCTACTTGGAGCAAGATGGGAGAATCGCTTGAACTCAGGAGTTGGAGGTTGCTGTGAGCTGTGATGCCGCAGCACTCTACCGAGGCAACAGCTTAAGGCTCTGTCTCAAAAAAAAAAGAAAAGAAAATGTTTTTTCCTGAAGGCAACCTGACATTTAGGTCTTCTGATAATAGATATACAATTTATCAGACATTTATTACCCAAAATGGAAGGTGAGTATGGGAATTGGGTATGTATGGGAGGCAGAGTTTGTAGAATCAGGCCCATGCAGTGGGGTCATCAGATCCTTTCTGGGAGCCTTCATTGGGGACAAGACAGAAGCCCCATTTCAGGCCCAGATTCAAATCCCTCTCCAATTAGGGCACAGTAGTGTGTAGGAGACAAAGTGGACAGTGTTTCTAGGGGTCAGTATAGGCTCTGGAGTGGTCTACAGGGAAATGGGAAGGGACTCAGAAAAAGCAGAGTGGAGGGCGTGGCAGGAAGGATGGAGAGGGAGACCACTCTGGGGTACTGTTTAATTAAAGGAAGAGCAGGGACTGGGGAAAAGCATTTCAGAGCAAAGGGTGCTAGGAGAGACCATTCTGGGAAGCTAAGAGATACACAGACACAGGGAGAGAAGCTCAGGCTAAGGCAGGTGGGAGGAGGGGCAGCCATGGAGTGAGTCTCAGTGCATCAGCCAGAGGCCAAGGCCAGCCAAGGATGTGAAAAAGATGAGGGCCAGAGCTGGAGTGGGCCGTGGGGCTGGGCTATTACAGTTGTCCTTGTTGCAGCAGGTAGTGTTATAGGTCAGGCCCAGCTTGTTGTTGGTTTGGTTGTAAGCTTCTTGACAAGGGTGTTCTGGTGTGCCACAACGCAGGTTGGAGAAAACCCACATCTTACCTAGGGGTATGAATGGGCAGGAGGTCAGCTCTGCTGGGCACCCGGCATGCCTGTATCTACCTCCCCCACCCACACACACACACACACACAAGTATCCTTCACCCCCAACTCTGCTCTGGCCCTCCCTGATTTTATCTCTTCTTAATCTAATCTTCCTTCTATACGTCCTTACCTGCCTCCCATCTCAGTTCTATCACGTGCTGGTCATGAGGCCTTGGACCTCTTACTATCCCTTTTTGAGGCTGTTTCCTCAGTATAATAATAGCACCACTATCATAGGGTTGTCATGAACACTAATTGAAACAATACGTGTAAAGATATAGGATAATGTCTGGTACAATCACCAAATATTGACCAAATATTATCATTGCTGTAATTCTCTATTCTGTCTCAGTCTTAGCTCCAGTTGGGTCTCAGTCTCAGTCACAGAGTCTTCCACTGACCCCTCTCCCCACTAAAGAAGAGGATTTTTACCGAGGTATACATGGGTTGTCAGGCATTGTTGTCCTTGCTCCAGGCGGCATGACTGACGGTCCACACAGCCCAGCACAGGGACCTTGTAGCAGGAGTGACAGCGAATGTCAGCTGCAGAGATATGAGTCAGGCTGAGGAGATGGGGTCTCTGACTTACTTGGGGAAAAGCTGAGCTGGGGTGTGGAAAGAGGGTGGAGAAGAGCCAATTGAGTAGGTGTTCAGACCTGTTTGACTGTTTTGTCCAGTAGAGACAAAGCAGGTGAGTGATGCAGCCAAAGTAGACAGGAGGTGTTGCCATTGTGAAAAACCCACACCCTCAGTATCTTCTTTCAACTCCACCCCATTTGGGATGAGTCAGAGGGTCAGAGCTACAAACAAAAACACAGGGCTAGGTAGGACTGGCGTGGTGGCTCATGCCTGTAATCCCAATACTTTAGGAGACCAAGGGGGGTGGATTGCCTGAGGTCACACATTCAAGACTAGCCTGAGCTAGAGCAAGACCCCCATCTTTAAAAAATAAGCTGGGTGTTGTGGTGGGCACCTGTGGTCTCAGCTACTTTGGAGGCTGAGGCAACAGAATCGATTGAGCCCAAGAGTTAGAGGTTGCTGTGAGCTATGATGCCAGAGCACTCTATTGAGGGTGACAAAGTGAGACTGTCTTAAAAACAAACAAATAAACAAAAAAACACAGGGCTGGGGATAGATGAAATGTGAGGATACCATGGGGGAAGTAATGAGGTGGCAGGGGAGAAGATAGAGACTTGAAAGGGGGAGAAATATTAAAAGTAAAATTCACGGGGAGGCTCGGCACCCATAGCTCAGTGAGAAGGGTGCCGGCCATATACACAAAAGGTGGCAGAGCCACGTCTAAACAACAGCTAAACAACAATGACAACTGCAACCAAAATATAGCTGGGCATTGTGGCAGATGCCTGTAGTCCCAGCTACTCAGGAGGCTGAAGCAAGAGAATCACTTAACCCAAGAGTTTGAGGTTGCTGTGAGCTGTGACACTACAGCACTCTACCAAGGACAAAATAGACTCCGTCTCTAAACAAAACAGACAAACAAAAAATATCATGGGGAGCCGAGTGCAGTGGCTCATGCCTGTAATCCTAGCACTCTGGGAGGCTGAGGCAGGTAGATCCCTTGAGCTCAAGAGTTGGAGACCAGCCTGAGCAAGAGTGAGAACTGTTGGCAGCACCTGTGGTTCAGTGAGTAGGGTACTGGCCCCATATACCGAGGGTGGTGAGTTCAAACCTGGCCCCAGCCAAACTGCAACAAAAAATAGCCGGGTGTTATGGTGAGTGCCTGTAGTCCCAGCTACTTGGAAACTGAGGCAAGAGAATCTCCTACACCCAAGAGCTGGAGGTTGCTGTGAGCTGTTGCCACAGCACTCCATTGAGAGTGACAAAGTGAGACTCTGTCTCTTAAAAAAAAAAAAAGAGTGAGACCTGTCTTTACTAAATATAATAATAATTTTAAAAACCTAGCTGGGCGTTGTGACACATGCCTATAGTCCCAGCTAGATGGGAGGCTGAGGCAAGAGGATCTCTTGAACCCAAGAGTCTGAGGTTGCTATGAGCTATGACACCACGGTACTCTACCTAGGGTGACAGAGTGAGACTCTGTCTCAAAAAAAAAAAAAAAAGAAAGAAAGAAAAAGAAAGAAAAATCATGGGGGTTACAACACTGTCAGAAAAATACCTTGGAACTTGAGCCTGGCAAGAAAGTCACCTGTGGCCAGCTTTGCTTTAGCAATTTACTCTTTGCCTCCTGGGGTTGGCAGGAGCCTGGGAAGAGGACTCAGACATCAATAGAATCCTCTTGCCACAGCAGCTCTTCAGCAGAAAGGAATAATAACTGGGAGATAGATCATCAGATTCTGTCTTAGCAGGTTACCAAAATGCACTGCCACGACACAGTTGCAGCCTGGCTTGAGGGCTCCCCCAAAAGGGTAGGAGAGGTACAAGGGAATGAGGCCTGGTGTGGAAGCTGGCATGCCAACATTTCTGCTTCAGCTAATTCAAGGTGTGGGTATGCAAGGTTTGCAGAAGAGGTCAGTCCAAGGATAGAGGAGCCTGGTAAGCAAACCTCATTGAAACCCATCTTACCCTGATTGTGAATGGCCCTAGCATCCCCTCCAATGAAGCCTCGGAAAAACTCCCTATGTCCATGGGAAGCTCTAAGAGGTCCCTGGTACCAGAAAGTTCTTGCATCCCTTGTAGGAAAGGAGGTGTAACCCATGGTGGGGTGGGATAGGGGTGGGGGGAAGCCATGGCTGAGAGATTGAGTGCCTAAGTCCTTTGACAGAGTAGATGGTAAGGGTGGGGTACAAAGGGAACCCGAGGCTGAATGCCTAGTCTCAGAGAAACACCCTGCTGCGCTGAGCGCAGGAGGTGAGAGGAGAAGACAGGTAAGCTGAATCCTGGAGAATTGTATATTGAAATGGGCCTGGCTGGGTAACTGAATAACAGAGTTTCTAAGGATGCAGCTTGGAGGGGGAACAGTGGATCAGATCCCTAGCAGGTGAGAAAAGTGGGTCTTTTTCTTGGAGGTGAGGAGGGCAGATGGAGACCTAGGAACCTGAGCAATGGAGCAAGGAGCCTGTCACAGGGAAGCCTGGTCCTAGAGACACAGGAGAGCTGAACCAGTGGGGTGCTTGGGATCTTGAGTAGTGGGTAGTGCAGGGCAGCAGGTAGGTCAGGGCATAAGGGTCCTGACCAGGTGAACCAGATCTTTGGGGTCCCCATGTGCTTACCTGAGACCCAGCAGAGCAGAGCAGATAGGGTGAACAGCAGAAGGCCTTTCATTGTGAGGGTCCTGAGAATGGTAGCAGCTGCAGCAGCTGACAGAGTAGATTTTCTGGGACCAGGTTCTGGGAGTTGAGCGGCCTTTTTGGAATTTATAATCCCAGAGGCTCCACCCTTCCCTGCCTCTGGTAGCCCCTCCCTCCCATTTACACACAGCAGACAGGAGGCAAAGACTAGGGGGGAGGGGCTGAGCAGGGCTAGGGGTGGGGATAGAGAGAAGGATGAGGAGGATAGGTGCCACTAGAGGCCAACTCCATTTTTTTTTTAAAGACAGTCTCACTTTGTCACCCTTGGTAGAGTGCCATGGTGTCATAGCTCACAGCAACCTCAAACTCCTGGGTTTAAGCTATTCTCTGGTCTCAGCCTCCCAAGTAGCTGGGACTACAGGCGTCAGCCACAATGCAGGGCTATTTTTTACAGACTAGGTCTTGCTCTGGCTCAGGCTGGTCTTGAACCCTTGAGCTCAAGCAATCCATTGCCTCGGCCTCCCAGAGTGCTGGGATTATAAGGTGAGCCACTGCACCTGGCCCACCAATTCCATTTTGGTGCTTGGTTTCAGGCCAGGATTCCCCTCCTGGCCCCCATCTGGAGTCCTAACTGCCCAGTCCTCTGAGGGAGTATCCCCAAAGACTCCTTTGTTATTTACAATGGCCATGGTGGTAACTTCTGCTGGTTCCTGTCTGGGAAATGAACAATGGAATGAGGTCCAAATTAACTGCCAAATTTGAGTCCCTGGCAGGGGCATGCATAGAACATGCGGGCAAAAATTGAAGTTGGAAACGGCCGGATTATCTCGATTCAGCCTCCACTCAGGCTTCCCAATCCCTGTTCAGCCATAGAATGAAGGGTTTGCGACGTCACTGAGGGCTTCTGTGATGGGAAGGGGCGGGGCTGGGACTGCACGTCCAGGAGAGCCAAAGCCCTGCGTGCTAGGAAGGGGTTCCCAGGACTTCTCCCCGACTCCACTTGGGCTTGGCGTGGCCTCGGTAGCTACAGTCCAGTGAGGGCTACTGGAGTCTTCGGTGTGGGCGTATGCACTTGTTTCAAAGCGCCTCTTCAATCAAAACCTGTCGACTTGGGCGGGGCACCGCGGCCGGGAGGGACAGCGTGGGCACAGAAAGGTGAGGTAGAAGCTAAAATAAGAATAGAAATAATAATAATGGCAAGCACTTAAGTAATGTTCCTATGTGTCAACCATTGTTCTGGTTTTTTGTTTTTTTTTTAGACAGAGCCTCAGGCTGTCACCCTGAGTAGAGTGCTGTGGCATTACAGCTCACAGCAACCTCCAACTCTAGGACTCAAGCGATTCTCCTGCCTCCCCCTCCCAAGTAGCTAGGACTACAGGCGTCCACCTCAACGCCTGGCTATTTTTTGGTTGCAGCCGTCATTGTTCGGCGGGCCGGGTGGATTCGAACCCGCCAGCTCAAGTGTATGTGGCTGGAGCCTTAGCCGCTTGAGCCACAGGCGCCGAGCCTCAACCATTGTTCTGAGCGGTTCATGTGAAATACTTTATTTACTTCTCCCAATTCCCTATGAGATAGGTGCTTTTATCCCCCATTCTACAGGTGAGAAAACAAATTAAATGGTTTGGCCAGATCACGCTGCTAGTAGATGGCAAGTCAGGATTCGAACTCAGGCAGTAGGCTCCAGAATTCATGATGCTCCCAGCGGCTGCTATACTGGAGGAGTTAAGGCAAAAATGTTTGTGTAAACGGTTGGAACACAAATTGTAAGTGAGCATTGTTGAGGATTGTGAGTTTGCCTTCGAGGATTCCCAAAGGGATCCAGGCAGTTTGTGGCCCCGCCTCCGCTCTTATCGCAGCCCCCAGCCCCACCATCTCCCCCCACCCCCACCAGCTTCCCTCCGGTCTCCCCGGCTGACTCACTCGCCGCCACTGTCCACCACATCCACATTCCAACCATGGCCCTGTTTCTGCAGCTACTGCCTCTGCTGCTCTCGAGGGCCCAAGGGGACTTAGGAGGTAAGCGATCCTTGGGAGAACGTGATAGGCATGGAAAGACAGAGGCACTGAAAGGAACTCACCCAGGGGGACTGAGTGTGTTGAGTGAATGTCCCGGATGGTCGGAGTACAGAGGAGAGGAGAAGGAAATGAGGGGGCTCCCTAGAGCATCAAAGTGTATGTAGGGATGGGCAAGGAAAGTCAAGAAAGTTATAGGGTTGGAGACGTGCCTTAACTACCGCCCCCGGCTTCCTCTAGCTTCTCTGGACGGTCGCCCTGGGGATCGGGTGAATCTCTCCTGCGTAGGGGTCTCACACCCCATCCGCTGGGCCTGGGCGCCTAGCTTCCCCGCCTGCAAGGGCCTGTCCAAAGGACGCCGCCCGATCCTGTGGGCCTCGACGAGCGGGATCCCCACCGTGCCTCCGCTCCAGCTCTTCGCTGGCCGCCTACGCTCCCTGGACCCTGGTATCCGACGGCTGGAGCTCCTTTTGAGCGCGGGGGATTCGGGCACCTTTTTCTGCAGAGGCCGCCACGAGGACGAGAGCCGTACGGTGCTTCACGTGCTGGGGGACAGGGCCGATTGCCGGGTCCCAGAGTCTACCCACGGTAGGTGGAGGCCGGTGCACACAGCAGAATTTAATTTCGACTCCTACTGGAAGGTGAGGGCGGGGCTGAGAAGGAGAGCTAGCTTTCTGTGGTCGAACCCCTAACTTCGGCATCCGTACCCGCCACGCCTTTCCCCCCAGGGTCCGTGTATCCCCAGGTGCTGATCCCACTGTTGGGCGCTGGGATGCTGCTGGGACTGGGAGCTTTGGGCGTGGTCTGGTGGCTGCGCAGGTGAGCACAAAGGGCGGGGCCTGACTTAGGGAGAGTGGGCCAGAAGCGCGAGGGGCAGGACTAGAACCTTTACAGACGAAACGGGTAGATCTCGAGCCCTGGGCGGGGCGTAGAGACTACTGAGGAAGGTCAGAACTTGGGAGCTAGGCCGTGGGCTGGGGAGTGGAGCACAGGCTAGAAGAGCCAAGCTGGAAGTGCTGCCGAGTCAGAGCACAGGCGCCACTACGAATGGGGGTGGAGCCTAAGGATCCCTACTCCCCCGCCGTCTGAGTCTGCAAGTTGGTCGGCTGTTGTGAGCGGCTTGGAGTAGTGAAACAAGATTGGTGACTCAAAAACTCTTATATGTCTTTACAGGCGCTCGCCCCCGCCCCCGCTTCGACCACCGCCCAGATTTGGTGAGACTAACTCCACCCCATTTCTTTCTACCTGCACATTCCCCGCCCCTCATAACTGAGTCTGAGCCCTTGCTGGGAGCAGACAAGTTGGTCACTTTCTCTCCATCCTTCAGCTCTGTCCCCCCCAAATAGTTCCACTGGTGAAACTCGAGCCCCAGAGGCCAGTAAAAGAGGAGGAGCCCAAGATTCCAGAGGACCTGGATCAAGAACCGGTAAGGGCTTGCTGGGATCCCCGAAGAAAGTGGACCAGCAAAGGGTCTGGACCTCAAGGGAATCAGACTAGGGAGACCATCCTGCCTTCCTCTTCTTCCTTCTTCAGAACCTACTCTATGCGGATCTGGACTATATGGCCCTCCAAAGACCTCGCCGGCTGTCCACAGTGGTGCCTGCTGATGCCAATACTATCTATGCAGTTGTAGTTTGAAGGGAAGCCCTTACTCCAAGCCTCCCAAGCTAGGGGCTCCCAGCTCTCCATAAGCCTCCTTCCCTTTTTGACCCCTCACCTAGAAGAGGAAGGCACTATGGCATAGGAATGAGCACTAGGGCCGGGCAGTGGCTCATACCTATAATCCCAGCTTGTTGGGAGGCCTAGGTGGGTAGATCACCTGAGCTCACAAGTTAGAGACCAGCCTGAGCTAGAGCCAGAACCCATCTCTAAAAATAACCAGGTGTTGTGGTGGGTGCCTGTAGTCCCAGCTACTTGGGAGGCTGAGTCAAGAGAATCGCTTGAGCCTAAGAGTTAGAAGTTGCTGTGAGCTATGACAACAGGGCACTCTACCAGGGGCAACAAAGTGAGACTCTATCAAAAAAAAAAAAAAAAGGGAATGAGTACTATCCTGGGAGTCAGGAGCCCTGGGTTCCAGGCTATCTCTGCACTGAACTTGCTTCTTCACTTATCCTCACCTGTCCTATGACTTCCATGTATGCTTCACCACCTGTGTCCTCTCCAAACCAGCTTGAGCTCTATCTCCCCATCTTTAAGACATCAATAACTCCTACTTGCTCTATCTCTTCCCTTTTCTTCACAAAGTTTTTTTTTTTTTTTTTTGAGACAGGGCCTCAAGCTGTCACCCTGGGTAGAGTGCTGTGGCGTCAAAGCTCATAGCAACCTCCAACTCCTGGGCTTAAGCGATTCTCTTGCCTCAGACTCCCAAGTAGCTGGGACTACAGGTGCCCCCTACAATGCCTGGCTATTTTTTGGTTGTAGTTGTCTTTGTTGTTTTGGCAGACCTGGGCTGGATTTGAACCTGTCAGCTCTTGTATGTGGCTGGTGCTTTAGCCACTTGAGCTATAGGCGCCGAGCCATTACTCCCTTCTTTAAATTCTATTTTTTTAAATTATTTTATTTTATTTATTTTGCAGTTTTTGGCCAGGGCCTGGTTTGAAACCTCCACCTCCAGCATTCGGGGCCGGCGCCCTACTCCTTTGAGCCACAGGCACTGCCCCTTAAACTCTATTTTTCTTTGCTGCTGGTATCTTTTTGTTGGACTCTGCTTTCTTGCTCTCTATCCCCACAGTTTTCCCTTTCACCCCCTTCCTTCTCTTCTGGGGAGCTCTTATCCACAAGCAGTCCTTAGCCCTCATGTTTCTACAAATGACACCCAGAACTCTCTCCAGCTTAGATGTCAAACTTGGGATTTTTAAACTGTTCTTCAGACATCCCACCTGGCTGGCCCTAGGTATTTTGCACCCAGCAAGTCAAATCCAACTCATTATCATTGCCCAAGCCATTCACTTAATCCTCCTCTGCATTCTCTCTTGATCAACCCAGTTGCCCAAGCTAGAAACTGGGAGTCAAGTAGACCTCCTTTCTCCCTCCCTCCCAATGAGCAATCAAGTCCAGTCTTTCATCCTTATTGTCACTATCAAAGCCACACCCTTCTTATGTTGAAGACTGGCACCTGAAGGTACTCTCCTCATTTCCTTTGTGGATTCCCCACAGCCTCACCTCACCCTCCTGCCTTTGTTTTTTCTTTTTCTCAGACAGAGTCTCACTTTGTTGCCCTTGGTAGAGTGCTATGGCATCATAGCTCATAGCAACCTCAAACTATTGGGCTTAAGCGATTCTCTTGCCTCAGCCTCCCAAGTAGCTGGGACTACAGGCGCCCACCACAGTGCCTGGCTATTTTTTATTTATTTTTATTTTTAAAAATAAATCATTACTTTGTACATCGATGCATTTATGGGGTCCGGCTATTTTTTAGAGATGAGGACTTCCTCTTGCTCAGGCTGTCCGCCAGCCTTGGCCTTCCAGAGTGCTAGGATTACAGGCTTGAGCCACCATGCCCAGCCTGCCTTTGCTTTCTGAAGCCAGAGAAATCCTTCTCAAGTGCTTATTTCAGAACTATAGTATTTCTCTCCTTAACTTTCAGCTCTGTACCCATGGGCCTTGGCTTTGGGTACAATATGCTACATTACTTTGTTCACTGTCCAGGCTTATTACTGTCACTACACATGCCTACAACATGCCAGCCTTAGCGAATTTCTCCCCATTCCCAAAATATACCTTTGCCCAATACAATTCCTTCTTCCCAAGTTACCCTTTTCTCTCCCCCCACACTATCTGCCTAGCTAATTCTTATTTATCCCCAGGACTGAGTTCAAGTGTGACCTTTCTGGGAAGCTCTTCCTGATTCTCCTTGCCTACCCCTGCATACACTTTGATGCCCTAGGGAGCCCCCTTATTTCCCTCATAGAAATAGCTTCCTGTGAATTGTTCCATCAAACTTGTATTTCAGTCTATAAGAAATCTTCATGTGCTGTTTTCCCTAACATCACAGTGCCTGGGGACTGACCCTTTTGATATCACTGCTGAGCCTCAGTAAATGAGTGAATGAAAATGAATGTCCCTAGAAGCATCATTTTCTTTTTCCATATCAAATTGGGGTAGAATAGTAACTACCAGCCTCTGAATCATCTGACATTTATTTATTTGGTGACAGAATTTCACTTTGTCACTCTTGGTAGAGTGCTGTGGCGTCATAGCTCACAGCAACCTCAAACTCTTGGGCTCACAAGAGTTTCTTACCTCAGCCTCCCAAGTAGCTGGGACTACAGGTGCCGGCCACAATGCCTAGCTATTTTTAGAGACGAGGTCTCACTCTGGCTCAGGCTAGTCTCAAACTCATGAGCTCAGGCAATCCACCAGCCTTGGCCTCCCAGAGTGAGTCACCGCACCCAGCTCTGACATGTAGATAAACTCAGTGAGTGATCTACTACACACTCTCTTCTCTGCCCTGGACACATTCACCGCAATAGAAATTCTGTCTTGTCTATCTTGTGCCCAAGCTCCTATGACATGGTTGGGCAATGAGTCAGTAGGTGCTTAAAGAGAGATTTTTGAATGAAAGAGGACTTCCCTGCACTGACCCCAACCTCAGGTTTCAGTTCTGCCCCATCACTGTACCTCAGTAAGAGACCAGCCACAGCTCAGTCTAAACAGTCAATGACATTTTATTGATCTGAGAGAGGGGACTCATCCAGTGACCCTCATTCTTTCCCCCTACATTCTACCCTCCCCCCATCTTGAGGCCTCTTCCCTCTACTGCCTATTCACCATACTCGAACCCTCCTATTATACTTCCTATGCTGCCCTACCTAAGGCCAGTCCCTCAGCTGTGGGGGCGTGTGCTAAGCACCAAACAGAGGGAGCTGAGCCCAGCACCAGCCTTCTCCAGTTCTGAGCAGGACACAGGTACCAGGGTGACATCAGAGAGCTTCTGCAGTGCCTGCAGGGAGGACACAGAATGGGGTGAGGGGAGTAAGAAGTAGAGGCCAGAGCCAGCTCAGAGGGACCCCACCACCCTCCTTCCTCCCATTAGGAAAGCCTGAAACTCCTTTCGTTGCTTGCTGTTGGTGGAGTTCTTGCCTCCCTCACCTCCTGGCTGTTGGGCAGGTCCCCACCTCCACGGTGTAGGAGGAAAGGGGCCACACCAGGCAATCCAGGACGAAGAAAGAGACAGTCAGCAGCTGCATCATCTGGGAGGGTTAGGGAGGCATATGGGTGATCTGTCAGCACTGCCATTGCCTGGGAAAGAGAAAAGAGGAAACATTCAAGTCTAGTGTCTCTCCATAATTGAGTCTGCCTGCCCTGCCACCACTAAAGGCTGGGGATAGAGTTACATTTGTGGCATAAAATGAAAGAAAGTTCATAAGTTTACTGTGTGTCAGCCACTGTTCTAACCTTTAGTTACCTTTGCTAATTTCCAATTTGGACTCACATGCAGTTCTTTTCACCTGCTCCTCTCTTCCTCCCTTCTCCAGCCCCCACCTGTCTGCCTTTTCCATCCTTAGAGTTAAGCTTAGATGCCACTTCTGGGGAGTTTCCTGAATCTCCAGTAAAGCAAGTTAATCACCCATGATCTGCACTCTTTGAGGGGTACTTGTAACTTCTTAATTACCTATGTGTTCTTTGGTACTAGACTGACAGCCCCATGAGGGGAGGGGTTGGGGCTAATTACTTAAGCCTCCCAGCTCCCTGCCTCCTGCCTCTGCAGCCAGAGCCCTGTCTATTTTTGTTTGGCCCCGCCCAGTTCCTCCCCACCCAGCTCTGTCCCTCCTCACCCTGACAGCCTTTTGGGCAGCGTCGCTGCTGCCCGCAACAACAGTGCGGGGTCCCCCCATGCCACAGAGGCCGCGTAGATGGGAGGGGCCTGAGACTGGCACAGTGGAGACAGCAAAGTCCTTAGGAGAGCAAAGGAAGGTATTCAGGGGCAAGGGGAGAGGAGAATCAGCTGCCATCAGCCTCTCCCTCCCCAGCGGGCTCTCATGCTCTTCTGGCTCCCACCTGCGCCCGGTTTCCTCCCAACGCTGGTCACGCTTCTCACCCGGAACGTGTCTGCAACGATCTCAGCTCCTCGGTGATTGGTCCACTTGGAGAGGCCTACGAAAAACTCTCGGCCTAAGTCCAGGAGGCCAAGAAGGTTTGAGGGCAGGAGTTAGAAGCAAGATCCGAGGCAACTCAGTCTCCCCATGCTCTGCTTTCCTGTGCAAGACCCAAGGAGTGCCGCACCCTAGCCTCACCAGTGAAGAGAACGTCAGTGCCATCCAGCGTCGCGGTCTCATCTCCTATCTCTACTATTCGAAGCCCCAGGTCCTGGAGGGCTTTGCGGACTCCATCAACCTTAGGGCAGGAGAAAACTGAGGGCTGAGACAGACATACCCCTAATTCTTCCCCAAAGCCCCAGATAGCCAGCTCCTTCCGCTCTTCCCTCTACCCCACCCTTGCCTTGCCTCTTACCTCTGGCCTTCGAGCCGGGCTCCAGGGCCGTGTGATTAGGGCCGTGTCCCCTTGGATCACAGCTGTGTCACCGAGCAGTGGTCCCAGTGGCAGGGACTCCTCAGGAGGCAGTTCTAGCAGCTGCAGCCCCAGTCTCTGCCTCAGTTTACCCCCCAACACCCCGTGCTCCCTTTGAGCTTTAGCCAGGTCCAGAGATGGAAGGCCGGCCCCCGCACCTTCACCCGACGCCAGGCTCTCTGGGACCCCCCGGATCAGGGCATGGGAGCAGCGGCCCAGCCCCTCCCCCGGTGTCCCCATCCCATTCACACAGACGCCCCCTCCTGCTCCACTGATTTCTTAGTTTTCTCTCTATTTACTTCGCCTGTCTGGAAGAAGAAACATAAAAGGGGGGAGGCAGAAAAAGACATGCAGGGTGGGGGTGGTGGTTAAGAGCGCCCAGGTCTTCCTCCCGCCATCTCTGAGCGCCCCTCCCACTCCGCCTCCCCCTTCCCGATCTTCCTGTCTCAGATTCACTCTACCCTTCACCCTCTCGGGTCTGCTTCTTTAAGAGGACTCCGAGAAATAAGGCTGGGGATCCTTAATCTCCAAAACACCTGTTGCCCCCTGCTCGAGGGTTTCGTGAGGACCCTGACAGACTCCCCTCTTGGCAACCACTAGGATGCGCTCACTCCCCAAAAATGCAGCGGCCCCGCCCCCTTAACCCTCACTAGTACGCTGCTGTAGGGATCTTAAGTCTGGCTCCGGACCTACAGGGGTTATGGGACAAGAGAGAAAACTGGGGAGAGAGGGCCTGGGGGGAATGGAAGTCCTGGATGCCCCAATGAGGCAGGGAGAAAGGGACGGGGAATGCAGAGAGGAATTAGAGCCTAAGGAGTTAAGCATTCTCTCTCCACCCCCGGTAGGTCACGCTGCCCCTAGCGCGACTCAGTATAAACCAGACCTAGTCCCGGAGGACTGGGAGAGGTCTAAAATGAAATGAAAGAGGCGGGGAAACAGTGGGCGTGGTTCTGGGGCTCCAGTGCCACTCCAGGCTCCAAGACCGAATCCCTCTGTTCATCTTGCCTCCAAAGTCCACCCCGCCCAGGTCCGCGCCCAAATGCTGGATCCCTGCACTCTGTCCGATGCAGGTATGGTACCGATAACCCCAAACTTTGGCCCCCATACGGCCCAGGGGACACCCCTCACCCCAGACTCACCTCTGGCTGCCACCCTCACTCCTGTCTCGCTGTGATCTCGGCTGGCGTCCCACCCCGAGTTCAGAGTTGGTGGGAAAAGAAGTCCCAATCTTCAAGCCTTAGGAACTAGGAGTTCTGGATTTTAGGGAGCCTTTGGATAGCCGAGATCCTGTACTACGATGGGGCGGGGGCGCGACGGTCTGGCGGCTCCGGGGCATTGTCTAAGCGGGACGGGGCGGAGCTTCTCGAGGGCACGCCCATTCCGCCCAGTTACGCCGCGCCCATTCCACCCGGACTGTACCCCCCCAGTCATAAGTCAGCACCGCCCTGCGAAGGCTGCCCTGGCCCGCCCAGATGAGGCCGGCTCTGGCGGCGGGGCCGCAAATGTGGCATGGACCACAGGACTACAGTGAGCCAGTACAAAAAATGGCAGCCCCACCACAAATACCCCTTAAGAAATTCCTGGCTTTGCCCCAGCTTAAGATCACTGATCCACTGGTTATCCGGTATCACCTTTGCTTCAAGCTCCCTTTGTGTAAAAACACTAGATTTTTATTCTGTATTTTATTAATGAAATACATTGTCCTACCTGCCCCACCCCACAATAAAAATCTCACTCAGGTCCCCCATCCCTTTCCGTCATCCTTCTTCCCTCCTAATCTGGCCCTGCACAAGTGCTCCAAGTGATTCCCACTGGCCATTTTGGAGTGTGTCCATTGGATACCAATGTGGAAACTACTCAGAGCCTTCGAGAGAGCTCCAGGAGGGGCTTATTTGAGGGCCTTGGCCACTTGTTCATAGGCTAGCTCGATTTCCTCATCATCTGGACAGGTAGAAGCGAATTCTTCCCGAGCATAGGCATTGCTCAAGTACCGATGCACTCCACGGAACGCCTCAGGGATGGTGAATCCCCTGTACTTCTTACACACCACCTGGGGGTGGAGAGAGGAGAGGGAGTAACATGTTAGTCCCAGGGAAGCTGCCACCATGCTGCTGGTCTTTCCCTTCTCTCCTATATGACAAAATACAGCCTTCTTGTTCAGGCATTTAAGAACCTCTACCTTTCATGAATGGATGCTCTTAATTAAAAAAAAAGAAAAATAAACCTCTACCATCCAGCTTCATTCTTTTCCTATCAATTCTTATCTCCCACAGGAATCATCATACTCAAATCCTTAGTCTTATAACATCGAAATCCTGGTCATTATTAACCAGTCCCCTTGGCAGGATGAGGTGGCTCATACCTGTAATCCCAGCACTCTAGAAGGCTGAGTGAGGCAGGCTGATTGCCCAAGCTCAGGTTTCCAGACCAGCCTGAGCTACAGCGAGATCTTGTCTCTGGCTTGTAGTCCCAGCTACTTGGGAGGCTGAGGCAAGAGGATAGCTTGAGCCCACGAGTTTGAGGTTGCTGTGAGTTATGATGCTAAGGCGCTCTACCAGGGCAAGTAAGTGAGACTCTATCTCCAAAAACAAACAAACCATGATAAAAACAACAACAAAAATGTCCCCTTCCAGGCCACATTATATGGCACTTTTTTTTTTTTTTTTTGAGACAGTCTCACTCTGTTGTCCTGGCTACAGTGCTGTGGCATCAGCCTAGCTCACGACATGATCTTAGTAGAGATAGGGTCTTTTTTTTTTTTTGAGACAGAGCCTCAAGCTGTCACCCTGGGCAGTGTGCCATGGCATCACAGCTCACAGCAACCTCTAACTCCTGTGATCAAGTGAGTCTCCTGCCTCTGCCTCCCAAGTAGCTGGGACTACAGGCACCCACCACAGCGCCTGGCTATTTTTTGGTTGCAGCCATCATTGTTGTCTGGCGGGCCCAGGCTGGATTCAAACCTGCCAGCTCAGGTGTATGTGGCTGGCGCCTTAGCCACTTGAGCCACAAGCACGGAGCCGAGATGGGTCTTGATCTTGTTCAGGCTGATCTCAAAGTTTTGAATTAAAAGGCTCCTCCTGCCTTGGCCTCCCAGAGTAAGGATTACAGGTGTAAGCCACAGTGCCCAGCCTCCTCTTGATTTTTTTGGACATTGAGATATAATACACATACTATTAAAATTCTCCTTTTGACTCAGCGCCTGTAGCTCAAGCAGCTAAGGCACCAGCCACATATATCAGAGCTGGTAGGTTCGAAACAAGCCCTGCCTGCCAAACAACAATCACAACCAAAAAATGCCCGACCATTGAGGCAGGAACCTGTAGTCCCAGCTACTTGGGAAGCTGAAGCAAGAGAATCGCTTAAGCCCAGGAGTTGGAGGTTGCTGTGAGTTGTGATGCCACGGTACTCTGCCCAGGGCGACAGCTTGAAGCATTGTCTCAAAAAAAAAAAATTCTCCTTCCGAATTTCTACACTGACTTTGTCTCTGTTTTTCATTTGATTCTTAGTCATGTATTCTTACTTAATTTTCATGAGAATGTTTTATCTTCTCAGATAACACCTTGTGAGGGCAAGTACATGTGTACCAATCACTATACATCTTTGTGTCTTTCAAAGCCTAGTATATACCATATAGTTACCTACCCATGAAATTAGGTGGTCTGAAAGAGGGCTGGTTACTAATAGCCAGGATTTCACTAGGTGAAGAGAGGGCTGAAGTTAGGATTTTAGAAAGATGATTTCTGTGGGATAAGAATCAGTTGAGAGAGAAGCCAGACGACGAAGGTTCTTGACTGCTTGGACAAGAAGGCTGGATGACATAGGTATGTGGTAGACTGACATAGGGCCCATTTTGTACAAACTAAAGCATAGCTTTGAGGCTACGACAAAAAAAGTGAACTAGCAGTTTTCATCTTCCACAAGAGGAAGTGAAGACTGAAGCTATAAAGAGAAAGCTTTGACTTTAGGAAAATCCTGTACTGTCTAATCTAGGGATTTGACAGTGATATAGAGACAGGAAGAAAATTCTTCAGAGTAATACTGGGGTGTGTTGCTCTCAACCTGTCTGTCCTGTGGCTTGTATCATGGAATGTAATTCTCTCAAGTAGCAGTATAGCCAGCAAAGATTGTAAGGACTAGAGTGGGGTCTGCCATTTGTATAAAATCGATGGAAACCACCCTAAAAAAGAAGTCACCTTTGCAGTGGTTATCATGGGAAGCCCTTGGGGGAGCTCTTTAAAGAGTATTCCAGTGGGCATCCTCTCCTCCCACAACCACCACACACCTGTACTATGTGGAGTTTTAGCAACAAGTTGCAGTCAGCCAGGGTGAGCTCATTGCCATCCAGAAACTTCCTCTGAGAGATGCCTTCGTCTTCAGCACTGGTTTCATCTACTTCTTCTGGGAGGGGGGATGTCAAGTAATTATCTAAAATCTTCAGGGCTTTCAGGAGCCCCTTTTCCAGATCTGTATAAGGGAGGGAATTGGTTAGAACTTCAGGAGATCTAAATAGTCCAAAAAGCATAATATAGGTTGGGTACTGGTGACTAGTCCAAAATAATAATAGCTAACACTAATGTAATTTTCTATGTGTTATTCTAAGCAACTTATATTTTAAAAAGCTCATTTATCCCATATCGACTCACGAAATAGGTATTATTATCCTCATTTTACAGATACAGAATTGGATTTACAGAGAAATTAAAGTCTCACAGATAGTTGGCTTTGTACTCAGGTAGTCTGCCTCCAGAGTCATTGTTTTTAAGCACAACCCTGCTCTGCCAGAAAACAGGCCAGCAGCCAACTAATGTCCCCAGTGGGGCAGAATAGACTTGGGAACAAAGGAGAGAGGCTTCAAAGTCTCAGCCAATAAGAATACAAAGAATTATAGAGGTAAAGCAAAAATGGTGGGGTTAGGGAAGGTTTCACAACATCTGTTCCATCTCCCTGATATCTGAACTTCCAGGTACCCCTTATGCTTCAACCCCTGGATCTTTTCCATTCCTCTAGGACCTGGGCCTCTGACCCACAAGACTCACTATCATTGAGTGCTGGGTTTGAATTCTTGATGTAGGCAGAAAATTTGGCAAATATGTCCAGTCCTGCTGTGTTGGACTCAGGGTTCAGAGCTGCCAACTTAGGGTACCTGAAAGCCAGTGGGAAGAACAAGGTAAGATATGCCTCTGGTAGAAGCCTCAGCTAGCTACCCTCTCCCCTTTCCCAGTGTCCCTATACCTGGGAGGGCACAGCACTGCCTCCAGAAATTCCTCAATCTTGTTGGTGTCTGTGTGTACTTCAGTGCCATACAGCAGGAATGGGAGCTGCCCTCCTGGGCATAGCTTCTGCACTGTCTCAGTCCTCCTGGAAAAGGGCCCAGGCATCAGGACAGGAAGAGGGGAGTCAGGGAAAACTAAAATGGGGGGTTGGAGGGATGAAGGAAGAGAAAGGGACCCTAGGTGGAGGCAGAATAAGAGACTCAAGATGGAAGGACTAGGGTGGAAGAGTTTGTGTACACACACATGTGTATGCAAGGGATGTTTTGAGGAATAAAAGTGAGCCCACCTCTTGGTGTCAACGGTGGTGACGTTGAAGGTGACTCCCTTGAGCCAGAGCACCATGAACAGTCTCTGGGAGAAGGGGCAGTTCCCAATCTTGGCCCCATCACTGCCAGCCTGAAAAGCAACCCCCACTCCGATGTTAGGCCTGGTGTACCCCACCCACCCCCAGGTCATTCTCTACGTTTCTACCCCTAGACCTGTAGTTATTGCCTAGTCATGACACATACACTGTCTTCCACTAAAAGTTCCCCCTAGAACCAGAGTCTCTATCCTTGGGCCTCGGTCAAACCAGGGTAGATCAATGGGAAAATTTTCTGCAAAGGCAGGTGTCTGGTTCCCAGAGACTGAGGACAGGTGGGAGATAGGCAGAGGGAACTAATAGGCTTTGTACCCTAGAGAGGAAATAGTGTGGGACTTTGGTGAGGCCAGAGTTGTAGGCTACAGGCCTGGATTCCTGGGATCCTGAATGAAGTAGAACCTTGAAGAAGGAAATATGAAGTTGAGCGTTTGGCTGTTGAGTGGGGAATCAAGTCAAGGGGTCCCAAGCCTCACACTAGAGATGTGGAGGGCCTTGCAGAAGGATTCTAATTAGCAAGTGATGACCTCATTCCCTCAGGGACACCTCCCCCCAAGCTGAGGGTGATTCATCTCTCTGTGTCTCTGGCCTCAGCAGCTTCCTTCCTGGCAAGGAAGTGGGGGCAGGGACCTATGAGGCTGAGTCCTGGGCAGCTAACACCCCCACCCCCCACTGCTGGGGTCTCCCAGCAAAAGTCTTCTGGCTCCAGACAATCCCCTCCACACAGGATACAGGCTGGAGTCTCTGCCTCAAATCCTCACCCAGGAGTAAAAATAGCCCCGGAGGCGAGTCTGAGAGTGAGGTGGGACCACACCTAAGGCGAGGTCGACTTCACTGGGCCTGGGAAGAGGGAATGGCTGCCTGAGGAAACTGAGCAGAAAGGAGGGAAAGACAAGCAGGAACACACAAAGATGAGATGCACAAAAGGGGGAAGGTGGAGA